TGCAATGAGGCAGTCCGTAGCACTACGCTTTCTACTAGGCGACCTGACTCATCTTGAATCCGGCTGTCGTTGCTGTTGGAGCCGATCTGATGCAATACCAGAGAACAGTGCATCACTGAAGATCACCCTTGATGCATCTAAAATGTATTATGCAACTATATATATATATATATATATATATATATATATATATATATATACAAGTATAGGATTGGTGTATACGCAATAAATTCCAATAACAAAAAATACTATTCTTAAAAGAGTGCTCAATACAGAATAGAGCAAATATAATTTATTCAAAAATTATAACATAAATATGCTATAAAATCACTAAAAAATAGCCATTGTGTTTCAACACTTCTAGGTCTTATCAAGTAATGGTGTTGAATGTAAATTCTATATTCAATACCATCACTTGCTTAAACATCAGAAGTGTTGAAACAAAATATTTTTGTAGTGATTTTATTACAGATTTATGTTATAATTTTTGAATAAATTACATACATACATGCATACATACATACATATATATATATATATATATATATATATATATATATATATATATATATATATATATATATATATTGTAGGTTACACTACTTGCCTTTGCCAGAAAGACTCATTGTGGGGTTATTTAAATCTATAAAGCATCTCTCTTTCTCATTTTCCTTTTGCTCTAGATGTTATCGCACGTAGGTAAAGTGTCCCCTACTGAGGTACGTTCATTTTTATGGTCCTCTGTTAACTGAACTATCGCACACAGGCACAGACAAACACGTGTATAAAACACACTTGATTCACATGCACAAACACAAACAAGCATATTCTTATAGAAACTTTAAATGTTTGTTCCTTTAATTGCATTTGAGTACACATGCAATTATTCTTTATACAGTCATATAATTGCCCTGTTTTGAATTCATTGTTTTGTCACATTTTTGCCCGGACTCCCATGAGTCTGCCAATATTGTTTGCGGAACAAATAAAGCCCATAAATATTTACTGTAAAACAAACAACTACCTCGTATGCGAAGTATTGATTAACACAGCAAAAAAAAAAAATCGCTCAAGAATTAAGGACGGCAGTACATGTCTAGAAAACCGGAAGTTAAAATGGCTGCAACTGAAAGAAAAGAGGAAAAAGAGAGAAAAGGTTATGGATTGAATGTTAAGTGGAAAAAAAACGACGGAAAAAAGCAAGTAGCCACGACACCCTACACGTATGCACATACGCGCAGACGAGCGCATGGATGCACGCACATACAGATACACTATAAAAAAACGTGCACTAATGAAAAGTGCCTATAAAAAATCGAGAAGTATAAGCATTCTATTGCTGAATGAATCCCGAAGGGTCCGTCTACGAGTCGAGATGCTGAAGGTAATATCAACCAGCTAATGACCAACCATTTACTTGCATTAACTCACTCTCTCTCTCTCTCTCTCTCTCTCTCTCTCTCTCTGTGTGTGTGTGTGTGTGTGTGTGTGTGCGTGTGCGTGGTATATGGATATTTATTAATATATATTTCTTAGCTCTGTCTAACTACATCGAGCACTATAATGTCTACACCCCTTGTCAAAATTTGGTAATTATTTATTTGCTTACCTGTGTATGCACGCCAGCACACGAGTATACGGTTAGTAATATCTAGTTATTTCATTTACCTAACCCTATACCTATATATATATATATATATATATATATATATATATCGAAAAAGCTTTCTTCAATTTTGACACGATTGGCCATACTGCTAGAAAGAGACTTGTTTTAAAACTGGCTTAAACAGCAATCTATTTTCGCGAGACACTTCCGGTTTATACAAGTTATAGCCCGGAAGTCTAAGTTTACTCTGCCGCTAACAAATACCAAAATATTTGTATAGCTTTCTTACAACGTGCATCTTCCACGTACTTTTCGAAGGCCTATTATATATTATATTATAATGAATATATTTTGGTAGCAATTTTTCATTCATTCAGGTTTCGTTGAAGACCCAGGAAAGTTCTTTAATTGATCAACAGCTACGATCATTGCGGGTGAAAATTTACGACTCAAGCAAATAATGAATTCCAAAATAAATTCTGGTGTTTGGTCATCTGGTCATATTTTGGATTGTGGGGAGGTCAGAGAACTCTTCGGCACACCTTCCTATATGATGAATCATTGTGTGCACAATGCTTGCGTTGTGTGGAAAAACTCCCTTCGCGTTGAATAACTGCAGCTATCCTCGGCCATTGCTCACAAAAAATGCCTCTTTCCCCATCTTCTTCTTTGTCATCTCTTACAACGTTTGCTATCCACTGCGTAACAGTCAAGCAAATTTTTACTCCATCCGTTATCTTTTCTTCATCCTCTGTACATCGCCCACTTCCATATCTGTTGTTTCATGTCTGTTATGTTGATTAACAATTGGCCACTCATCAAGCAACCTTTTACTCCTTCTGTTATCGTTTCTTCTTTCTTTGTGCATCGACCACTTCCAATTTTGTTGTT